CTTTCTTGGATGCTCTTTCTTTTTACTTAGTTCTGTCAGAGTAGTTTAGAAGGCCACTTTTGTGTAAAATCAGTTTTCCTATTTGGTCGGTTTTGTGTTTAGATGATCAGTGGGGAGAGTTCCAAAAATATGGTATTTTTTGAATTGTGTTTTTATATTTTACAGATTTAGCATTTAAGTTATTACTTTTTTTTTTTTATTTTAACTTCACTATATAACTGTGAATGCAATAAAAATGTTTAGATAAAAGGAAGTGTATATTTTTAATTGTTTGTTCTTAACTTTCTTATATAGTTACTTTGTGTAAGTCAGTAAAATTATTGAGTCATGCCTTAGTACTATCAATAGTACAAATGTTTATGCAAAATTTTAACTTGAATAGTTTTGCTTGTGCATCCAAAAAACTATAAAATTGAATTGCCTCAAATAAATTAATTATGTAATTATAATTTTAAGATAAAGTATTATATAAAATAGTAAAACTAGCTGACATAATATTAAGAGTATATAATATCTTAATATTGGATATATTTGTCTTAAATGTGTTTAATATAAAGTTTAATGACATTTTGACAAAAAAATTTTGTAGAAAAAGGTCACTCAATAAAGAGTTATAAAAAGAATATTTACTAAACAATAATGTATTTTTTTTTTGAATAGATTTAAAAATTTATGATACAATTATTATGTAAAAATGCAATAATTGTAAACTTGTGTAATTTTGAGTTTAAAATTTATATTTTATTACATATTATTAATTAATTATTTGTACAATATGTAATTAAATTTTTTTTATTAGAGATATAAATTTTATTAATAAATATTGCAGCCTTTAATTATTACAAACAAGAATTATCAATGTTTCAATATAAGGCAAAAGTTTAGTTAATTTTATTAGTATTTATTTGAAGCCAAAGCAAAAGAAATAATTATTCTTTTTCTTTATTTTATCTTATATACTAAATTTAACTATTAATTAATTATATTACAATATTATATAATTAATCATATTTATTAAACCATTTTTCAAACAAATTTTTTAGAAATTTTATAATTGATCTGTAATTAAGCTATCAAATTATATTTAATTATAGTCTATATTGTAACATATTTGAAGTCAAATTGACAGTTTAAAAGATACACTATCTTTGGCTTTTAATTAATTACTCTTATTTATATCTATTAATTATCTAGAACCTAATATACAAATTAGCATTAAGTATTATTTTTACAAATTTTTTTTTTACTTTTTTTCAATTTAAGCATTTTTTAACTATTACATTATGCAAAATATATCTTGAGTAGCAGTTTCTGTTATCAAACTGATTTTGACTATAACAATAAACAAATAAATTATTGAAATTATTTTTATTAACATTAAGATTAGAGATAAATTTGGTATAGTCATAATTATTTATAGACAATTTTCTAAATACTGTGATAGTTTTTTATTGTTAAACTTTTAATTAAACTTGTTCAGAATTAAATTCTTTTTATCTTTTTATTTTATCTTATAAGTAAAAAGAATGATATCTTCTTTGGCAACTAGAATTTTGAAATTTGTTAACATATAACTAGTTAATAACTAGTAGTTAATAACTGATTATAATATTAATAAATTTTAAAATTCTAAATTCCAAAAAAATTATCATTTTTTTTACTTATAAGATGATATAAAGAAAATTTAATTCTGAACAACTTTAATTAAAAGCTTAAAAATAAAAAATTATTACAGTATTTAAAAAATTAACTATAAATAATTGTGACTATTTGTAATTAAACTTATTTTTAATTAAGATAAGTATTTTATTTTGCAAATGAAAAACTTGTTTTATATGTATTTTTATACTAACAAGTTCTACTTATTTTGTTTAGTTTATTTGTTTTAATTTCTTTTTTTTTTTTTTATAATGCCAATCATAATACTTTATTTAACTAATACTGAATTAATACATTAGAGTTATTATATTTTATTTGTGCTACTATATTATTATATAGATACCCAACATGACATTATATTTATACTTTCCTAAATTAAGACTAGTACTATAATGTTTCAACTATTATTACTAATTAAGGTAAAATTATAGCCATCTTGTAATACTATATTTCCTAATTCTACAGTACCTAAACATAATCCTCCTATTTACTTCCTGCAGTAGCCTATCTATTCTTCCAAATTGGTTGATTCCAGCAGTTTCTTGCTTTTCTTGTTACCAATTTGATGTATACAGCCTTCCATGTATTGATACTAATCAGCATAGCTGGATTTATCGAGATTTTGAATTATCATCTGCAACTACTACATACTCTTTTTTGTGTACTTCCATAGTTGTTATACTATTATACTTTCAATTTGGTATTGCATGGGGGCCTGAAACTTTGACTTATTATGTACAAGTATGGTAACCATCAATGATGTTATAATGTATGACTATTGTCTTGCTTCTTAAGAGTTTATAGTACCTGCCTAAAATGTTCCAATTTTGGTTAGACCAATTCTTTATCACAGATCTTTTTTGCATGCACTGCTTTGCTCACTACTTCAGTTTTAACTATATTAGTATTATCCTTCTAATTAAGTACTTTGCGAGTTAGGTACAGAGATGTTGGTGCTGCCTCATCTCGATAGAACTTATTCATGCAACACTTTTAGTAGTAGAACCTTCTATAATGCTGCTGTCACATATAGTGCCTTCTCTCTGCAGAATCAATCTTCTTCTGGAAATTCTTAATCCATTCTTGTACTTCAACTTAAAACTTATCACAGAGTTTTGCATCTGATTTGGCTCCTATATTAGATTATAGAGTTAAAATCCTAAGATTTTGCCTTCAGTTTAACTTGAACTGTTGATCTCGTCTGTGAGAAGCTGACAGTTTAACTATTAAGCTATAGAGTCCAACTCTTGTTTTAATTTCTAATTTGTTATTATTTATAATTATTAGCATAAATGTTATAAAGTATATTTAAACTATGTTATAATTAAACCACTATGTTGTTATTCATAGATCTATTGCTAATTTAGGAATGTTACAGTCCAGTAAGGATCACGGTCTGGACCAGTCTTTTGAACTGGTCTAAGCAGTCCGCGGTCTGTAAATTAGGACCAGTCCCAATAGGTCAGTCTATAATAAAATTTGCGATTATATAATAAATATATATTTATATAATGGTAAATATATGCAATAGCATTTCTATTTCGAAGATCATTTACCCTAAAGCAAAAAACTAATCTGCAAGCATAATTCTTCAATCGAAGTCGATTTACTGGAATTGGTTTTTGTATATAATGTTTAAATGCTAAAAACTGAATTAAGATTAAAATTTTACTAGTTTTTAATAGCCTAAATAAGATAGTTTCTAAATCTGTTACTGATTTGTGATTATCTTTTTTTATAAAAATGCTATTGAACTTGTTTTCAAATCAAGTTTAGAAAATATTGCAAGCACAATTCTTTAATCGAATTCGATGTATTGGAATTGGTTTTCGTGCATAACTTTTAAATGCTAAAACTAAATAAGGTTAAAAATTTTTCTGGTTTTTGGTAGCTCAAACAAGATAATTTTTAAATCTGTTACTGTTTTGTAATTATCTTTTTTTATAACAATTATAATACTTTTTCGTTTTTATCTTATATAAAAAATTGTAATACACTATATAACAATCGCTGAAATACAAGATAAAAATCTCAAAATACAATTCATTCAAGATTTGATCAAAATTTGGGATTTTTGGGCAAAACGGATTGCTTTTTTTTTATTTAAATCAAAATTCACAAACAAAAATGTAAATGAAATCATAAATATATTTTTGAAATAAATAAACTTACTGCTACTTCACGTTTCATCTTATCATTGTTAAGATATTATGCTACAATTTCCATGACTTAAATTCTAAAATTCAAATTTCTTATTAAAGCATCAGGTTTGATGCCATTTCGCTAATCATGTTTTCGTTACTATTACTAATAAAACCTAAAAAAAAAACTGCTTTTTATCAAGAAAAAAAGATCTATGATCTAATGCAAGTTAGTAACCGGAACCTTACAAATAGCAGCATTGTAATTGATAAAGTTTTTAAACAATCATGTATATACTTTCACATACTGATTAACCAATTCGAGATAAATCATAATACTTAATGAATAACAGACCACTAAAAAATAAAAGATTACTGAATAGATTAATTAAGTGCATTTAAAAAAAAATTCTAATAATCTTATGTCAATAAAAAAAATTCTTCAGATAATGCAATTAGCAAGAAGCATCATGTATTGATCATGGTTAATGTCTAAAATAAGAATGAATAAAAATTAGTATAATAAGCCTTTAATAACAAAATATATAAAAAACGTGCATACTTTGTTCTCGTCCTTAATTTCTCATTAAAAAAAAATGGCAGAAATCGACCTTCCTGAAACTTATATGCCTTTTAGTCCTGAAAATATTAATGATCTCTTCGAAGAAGATAGTACTTCAGATCCTGATAGTTAAGCATTTCAAGAAACTAATACTACTAGTTTGTCGTCTCAAAGAAATTACTCAAAAAAAAAGAGTTCAGCAATCTGGCCCCACTTTGATACTACTACAACCACTTATCCTAGGGTACCTGTATGCTGACAGTGCAATCAAGTTTTTTCAAAAACCACTGGTGTTTCATCTTTATGAAGACACCTTAATAAACATAAAATTCAAGCACCTGCAAGATGTCAAACTACTCTCTGTTTTCCTAGAACAGACCCATATGGTGATAATGAACAAAGAAAATGAGACAAAAAATTAATTACCTGGATTATTGCTGATCAACAACCTTTTACTGTCATAGAAAATCAACACTTTAATGACTTTATTAACTTCATTGATCCTCGATATGTAATTCCAACAAGACAAACTATGAAAACAATGATTCTTAATGAATTTGAAATTAGGAGAAGTAGAATGGTTAATGATCTTATAAGAATTTCTGGAAAAGTTTCTTTGACCACTGATATGTGGACATCCCAAAATTTTGAAGCATTTCTTGGTGTTATGATTCATTATATGGATGCTAATTGGAAAATGCATTATTTTCTTTTGGATATTATTCTATTTGATGACAGGCATACAGGTGCAAATATGGCAGATGCCATTAATAACCTTCTTACTAAGTTTAATATCAACGACAAAACCTTGGTGCTTACAACAGATAATGAATCTGCGATGATTGTTTGTGGAAAGTTAATCATGCAAGAATTGCAAGATGAGTTTGATAAAATTGGGTTTTCGCATTATCGTTGTGCAGCTCACATACTTAATCTGACTGCAAAACAAGAATTAAAAATGGTTGGTTCTCTGGTAGAAAAGGTCCGAAACCTAATGTCAAAAATTAGAGCATCTACTTGACTCTGTGATGATTTATGTAGGCTATGCAAACTTAAAGGAATTTCGTTTCTTAAACCTAAGTTAGACATTGATACAAGATGGAATAGTACGTATTATATGTTACAAAAAATGAAAAAAATGGAAACACCTCTTAAATTACTTGCAGCAGACCATCTATCAATTGATTTATTATATCTGAATACTAATGAGCAACAAGATTTGAAAGTATGTAAAATAGTAATTTAAATAAAATAAGTAAAATAAATAGAATAAATAATAAACTAACAACAATTTTTAGAATGTGCTTACCCTATTAAAACCAATTGAGGCTGCAATGAAATTACTTTCAGCATCATCATACCCAACCATAGGTGATATCCGTTTAGTTTTTTTAAGTATTCAAAACTACTTAGATACCTACATTAGAGAAGAAGCATTCTCTCAACATTTGGCTGCTACATTAATTTAGCAAAAAATTGAAGAATATTGGACCATAATGGACAAACCTTCTGTTGTATCTGCTGTTCTCGATCTTCACACCAAATTTAAAATTTTTGGCAAAGAAGAAGCTGTTAGTACCAAAAAAACAGTACAAGAAATTATGAGCCAATATATATATGAGTATTAACAAACTTTACCTGCCTCTAATAATGTCAAAGAAAGTCTGATCAAAACCACTCGAAAGTTTTTTTGGAAGTGGCATAACAAATCTGATGTAACAGAATCCTTGGTTCCTAACTATACTAATGGTAACTCTCTTGAAGAATCAGCTATTAATAATGAATTAGATTGTTATATTACAATGGAAATTATTGAAGATGATACAATCCTGTTGGACTAGTGGAAGGCAAATCAAAAAACCTACCTGATTCTTTCAAAAATGGTGTCAGACTACCTAAGTATTCAAGCAACTAGTATTGCTTGTGAACAAGCATTCTCTGTGGCTGGAAACACTATTTCAAGAACCCGCAATTGTCTCCATTCTGAAACAGCAAGAGCATGTCTTTGTGTTAAAAGTTGGATTAGCAATGGAATAGGCGAAATTGAATAAATGATATACTTGTCTTTAGAAAGTATAAAAAGTATCAAATGGCCCTTTTAATAAAGTAGTTTTTTGATACCATTATAATGAAAGGTATCATTAAATAAATATTGGTTAGTTTCACCTAAGTAACGTTAAAATGATAAATGTATCTTTAAAAAAAAAAAAGATCGAAAAGCAATATGTCCTACCAAAAAAGTGTTTGAAAATTTTTTTTTCAAAAATAACTATTAGAAAAGTGCATTTAAATAAACATATAATAAAATTACTTACAGGTTTGTACAGTACAGGACTTGCTCATTTGTGATCAGACGAAAGAATGTGTGAAAAAAGTTCATCATAGATATCAATATAATCTAAATTCTTCATTCCTATTGGCTGCAAGTAGACCAGTCCTTGAACCGGACCGAACTAGGACCAGTTCATGGACCAGTTTATAAATTTTGGTCTGGTCTATGGTTCGCTGCTCGGACTCGGTCTTTTGAACCGAGACCAGACCAGGACGGACCGTAACAACTCTATGCTAATTATAAGATAGCAGCGTAAATAATTGATTATCTAAAAATTTGGATTATTATGATTTTTAAGTTTGATTATTTATTTTTTTACTTAAATTATAATATTTAAAATTTCAGATTTATCTATCTGTTTTAGTTGAATAACTTATATTTAAAAAAAAAAATTATTCATAAAATTTATATAATTTGTATTTAAAAATTAACTAAAGTGTTTTAACTTGAAGCCTTATATAACAAGCCCAATTGCTAGAGTTATAGAATTCATAAATAATTACAAAAATAATATAAATTTATTAAGATAATTAGTTTAATACTAAACTATTAACAAAGTTCTAATTTTTATAAATGAAAACATTATTTTTGCTAATACTAAATGAATAATATATTATTGTCATATAAAGCAAATACTGTAATACTTTTTTTTACTAATTTAGTAATATAGATTATTGTTATATGCATATATATGCATAAATATGCATATTGATATCTATATGTTAATTAAACATTACACAATCTTTATCACATAACTATAAACTAGGCACAGATTTTATTTTTTGCATTAAACTATACAGATAAATATACAACTAGTTACATGTGTAACTTTTTTATATTATTTATTTAAAGAGTCTGTCTAGAAGTTCTTTATTAGTTGCTATACTAACATTTCTGATTAGATGTTCTATTTAAACTCTCTAATCTGATCCTAGTATTAACTTTATTAGATTACTTGATCCAGATCTTTTTGCTTCAACCTTAGAACTATAATTCTTAAACTATTTTTATTCTTAAGATAAATCTATCAGAGTAAACTATATTTCTTTTTACTACTAACATGGTTTAATGTTATGACTAAAACCAACACTTGCAATCAGAATTATTTATTAAACTGCTTTTAATCTTATAAAGTTCATTCAAACCCTAGTACCTATCTTTCTAATATTTTTTTTATTATTTCTTACTAATTGCAACTCAGAATTGACAAACTTTTTAGACTTTTAATTTAGATAAAAGTATGATATACTTATATATTCTTTTTCTTTAGCAATTCTGACCATCTGGTTAGTTATATGCTTTTCTATATATCTTGTTATCTAGTTTATTTGACAATTTTTATAAAGATGTTTTATAGACTTTTATCAGTCCAATAGTATCAAAAGTTTGTATTATCTTTTTATTTGAAATTTTTAAGTAGGTTTCTATTTTTTAGATTTATTAGTCTTCTATACCTAGTGTTCTTATCACAGGTTTGCATCAAAGCCTTATATGACAACAGTTTTTCATATTTCTCTATGTATGTATAATGTTATACTTCACATAGATGCTCTGAGCTTTCAAAATCAGGTGGGCTCTGATCTAGTATACCTAATATTACAGATACATAAATCCAACTAATTAATAAGAAACAGTTATTATAACACAAATATAATTTTCAAAGTTCATAATCTGTGAAAATCGAATATTAGATCTGCCACTTGAGGGTTGACAATCTATCACTTTACTAGATTACTACATATCTAAAAATATATAATAATACTATAATAAATATTGTATTATAATTAATAAATATTAATTAACTATAATTAAATTAATTATTCTATTATTTTTTTTAACTTATTACTTATACCAATTTCTGTCAACCAACTATTCAAATTTTTAGAATGTTGGTTCACTCTTAATAATTTATACACTAAACAAAGCCAACTAATTTATGATAAAGCAATTCAACTTATCAACATTACAGGCACCAAAAAAATTACAGACAAACAAGCTATATATATTACTAATACTGTAATTATTTCTACTATTAAATACTAACTACACAATATCATTCTTAAACATTTTACCTTTGACAAACTTTTATCCAAATATCTGACTATGATTAAACACAAAGTTAAACTCTCTCATACTAGCCCTAATAGCACTATGCTAAACCCTTATATATACAATGTATATAATATTTGAGACATCCAACTACAACATTATATATTTTGCTTTCAATAAAGAATTAACAACTCAGAAATTTTTGGCATTTCTACTAAAATTAGATTATAGCAACTTCAAAACAACCTCTGGTCTGCTACCAATATTCTTCAGCATAGCCAACCACTTATTGATGGACTTAACAAACTCTCACTTAATTTTAAAATCATACAACTTCTACAACATTTTGCATTTTAATTCTAGCAAACTTCAATGTTTTGTGGCCTAACACTGTTCATGATGGCTACCAATTATTAGAACTAATATTTAGTCAATATCTCAAATATCATATTTTTAAAAAACAACTTCACAAAAACAATATTCTCTATCTAGAACAATTATATACTGCAGACAACAGTATACTACTCCAATGGCACCACCTTTCACCAAGACTCTATTATCTAATAAAAGGAAGGCAACCCTTTTGGTTTACCTATCTGGAAGACATAATTCTATCTGATAGAACACATCACTTAATCCTTTCCCACTTTCAACTTTTTGAAGTTAATGTCTTTGCATACAACACTTTATCAATCAAATAAAAACTCAAACCTTGGCTATTTACCTACAATAATAATAATAATGAGATCATTATTAGCAAAATTCACAAATATCTTCCAAACACAAATCAGTTTTCCATATCATATTGAAACACTAATATTGATTTAGAACACAATTACTACTATTCTCTTCTGAAATCGAACTGTATACTATGCACTAGATGCTACCTTAACTCAAACAGAATTAATCAAATATACATAATTAACATTTTAGCAACTATTTGTATTAGCTTTTTAGAAAGAAAAACCTCTAAACTCAAATTTAATGCTAATTACCTGGATCTTATTTATTCAACAGCAATTAAATATCCTTTACGAATTCCTTATAACCATTCTACTATCAATATATTAAATTTAACTATTACAGAAATCTTTAAACCCAATGACTATTCAACAAACTTGAAGAAATTTTCCAAAACAATTTATCTTATAAGGAATTCATTTTTTATACAAATAGATCAGTAACTAATATTGGAACTGAACAAAGCTCAATGGGCATTGGATAGGTCCAAGTTAACAATAACAACCAAGTGCTTTATAAATTCTTAGCTAAAATCTACTATTGGCTATCAGCTTATAAGGCAAAGCTCTTTTCTATCTTATCAGCAATCTCAACTATACCTCACAATGCAATACTTCAAATTTATACTAACTCACAATTAGTTATCTTCAAGTTTTACAAGTTCTCTACTCAACTTAACAATTTTAACAAACTTTTTAAATTTAACACATAGCCTCTATGGCACACTTTTCTTAATATTATTAAATCCTTTAACTTAAACATCAACTTTCACAAAGTTCAGGCTTATACAAACAATACTTTTAATAATATAGCTGATTTTTTAGCAAAACAACACAATTTTTCTTTGTTGCTAATCTTCCAATGTATAAATATTTACAATTCTTTTCATATTTTACAATGGAAACAAAACCCTGTTGAGCTTTCTATCAGACATTTTATTAAAAATATCTGCAAAGCTTATATATTAGCAATATGGTTATCACAAAAAAGAAACAATGAATAGGCTTATATTAATTATTATATAGACTGAAAATCTACATGATTATATCTTAATCATAACCAAAAACCTTTATCAAATTTTACTAGCTTTAAGCTTAATCAATTAAAAGCCTTTAAAGTTAAAACTCTACTCAATGAACTACCAACATACTTTTCTTTTTACAATATATATTTAGCTATTTTCATAAATTTCAACTGCTTTTAATGTAACCTCCCTAACTTCTACTCACATTAGCTAACATGCTCTAACTCTTCTCTTATTACAAACATTATTAACTTATCAGTTCAGCATTCTATCTAAAGCAGATCTTAATTTATCTACTAATAAACTCTTTCTGCAAATCCATTGCACAAAAATTAACTAAAAAATCTGTTTGTCAAAAAATGCTTATAACTATTTATTTTACTAAGACAATCTGTCCTAATGTCTTAAGTAAACTTGTTCAGCTCTAATTTTATATATATTTTACAAATATCATACTTTTAGCTCTTAAACTCATTAAGAAAACTGTACTGACGGTCTTTGGCCTCAGTTTTAACAATTAATTTTTTTCACAGCTTCTACTGTAATAACATATCTTTTACTTCTAATTAAAGTTGTAATACACATTTGCCTGATCAAAACAAGCTCTAAATGAAGAATTTTGATCTAATATTAATTGAATTACAACAAAATTTCTCTTTTACTCTCTTGTAAAACTTTTTCTTTC